TTATACCGCCATCAATCAGACCGATCATATTAGGGGTGGGGGATGGGAATGAGAGACAATGATCCTCACAACATTTTTACTGCCTTCATTTGTGTGTATGTGTGTGAGTGTGTGTGTGTGTGAGAGAGAGTGAGAGAGTGTGTGTGTGTGAGAGAGTGAGAGAGAGCGTGTGTGAGAGAGTGTGTGTGTGTGAGAGAGTGTGTGCTCGTGCATGTGTGTGTGTGAGAGAGTGTGTGTATTCGTGCATGTGTGTGTGTGTGTGTGTGTATGCGCGCGCGCGCGCGTGAGTTCATGCATGTATGCACAATGCCCATGTGGAGATCAGAGGACAACTATTGGAGGTTTATTCTCTGCTCCCCATCAGGGACTGTCAATCTTGCAGATAGCACCTTTTCTCTGCTGGGCCATCTCACCAGCCCAAGACAGTAATCTTCATCTCTTCCTCTCTAGTAGGCATTCTGACACTGCTTTGCTGTTCCGAAATGGCAGTGCCCTCTGAACCTGTTTATGGAGCTAACAGCAGACTAACAGCTTCAGTGGGCACTGTCCTGCTAAGTCACCAGGTCAGCAACAGCAGAGACGTCTGAAACGTCACTGGCTCTGTTTTTCCTAATTGGCTCCAAACCGGCAGTTGCGGGCATCACCCTCCCAAGCCAGGTTCTCCCCTGATGGCTCCGTGAATGAAAGGTGGATGTGAGTTAACAGGAGTCAACTTCAGTCAGTTTGCAGTGATGCCCTGCCATGCCCACGGTCCTCCAGAGCCACAGCTGTCACTTGAAGGGCCAAACTGACTAGGGACAAAAACCCAGCCCACCTTCATATCCAGGAAGCAATCGCCAGAGAACAAGAGGCAAAGTCAAGAACACTGTGTAAACACTGTGAAAGAACATTCCTACCAAGTCGGAAGGCGTGTTAGAACAGGGCAGGTTAAGGAATAAAGATCCAGGGTGGTGGCAGAGAGGCCAGGGATGTGTCCAGTTGTCTCTCATGGTCCTGCTATGGGTGATCACATGCCAATGAATACTGTCTAGAAAGTGTGTGCCAAATTGTCCCCAAGCATCCCTTAAAACTCCACATTGCTGCCATCTCAGTCAGGCCACAGTGAGCTCTTATTTGGACAACCTTGTCCCCAGCTACTGGCGTGTCCAGAGGGGATCCCCTCCACTTCTGTTTTCTACCTTAGAGGATTTCTCTGTTTATATGTGGGTGTGTGTCGGTGTGCGCGTGTCCTTCCTCAAGGGTTGGAAGGGAGAGTTACATTCCCTAGAGTTCAGGATGGTTGGGAGCCCACGTGGCTGCTGAAAAGCAAACCCAGATCCTCTGTAAGAACGAGTATGTGTGTTTTTAACCTCTGGGCCATCTCTCCAACCGTGGCTCTGCCCAGTCCTCAGAATGTAGAAGATCTAAAACTTCTACCCACAATTTTGAGAGCACAGAATTTACTTCATAAGAGATTTGGCAATGTCAGATATACTAAAGATTTGCCATTATAAGGTAGTAATCGTGGATCTAGGTGAGGATTCAACTATAAACTATGTCAATGAAATAAGGCGTTTGATTCTATGTCAGGTTCTAGAAAGAGAATTTCTGCAGTACCTGTGAGTCATGAGCTACAGAACATCTTAGTCATAGGTTTGTTGTATTGGTCTTAGACTCTTGTTCCTGACACAGAGCTCCTCAACCTTTTAAATGTCACAGATCGTAGGATATCTTCTGTTCTAATGAGATGACTCTCGCTGGCTCTCTGGGTAGCTTCTGTTTAGGGTCTGGTCAGAGGAGGCTCAGTTAGACGTTTGGAACTTCCAGTTTCGCCCTGCCCCCCAGCAGCTAGCCATTGAGTTAATGATCAACCATGCCTGCATAAACTCCATAAACTCCTCTGCTTTAAAGGTCTTCTAGAGATCTTGATTAGTAAACATATTACGGTGCTGGGGGAACAGTGTGCCGAGAGATTGCAGGGAAACTCCATGGCCTCCCCACAGACCTTACCCAGTGTAAGTCTTCATCTGGGTGTTCATCTCTGTCCTTTACTATACCCATTACCGATTCCAGAGCTATGCGAGCTGCTGCCTCTAATTACTGTGCCTGCGGAAGAGAGTCGGGATCTTTGATTTATAGCTGTGTTAAACACGTAGGTGGGGACCCACTTCTTGTTACTGTCTCTGAAATGGAGTCAGTCTTGAGAGACTAAGCCCTCTTAATCTGTGGAATCTGTGCTAACTTTCAGTAGTTTATGTTATAATAATTTCATATGAAATACTCTCAACTGGTGTTAGATGTATTGTGTGAGTATAGAAAAATGTAATTGTTTTTCCTTTTTTTTTTTTTTTTTTTTTGGTTTTCGAGACAGGGTTTCTCTGCGTAGCTTTGCGCCTTTCCTGGAACTCACTTGGTAGCCCAGGCTGGCCTTGAACTCACAGAGATCCACCTGCCTCTGCCTCTGCCTCCCGAGTGCTGGGATTAAAGGCGTGCGCCGCCGCCGCCGCCGCCGCCGCCGCCGCCGCCGCCACCACCCGGCTGTTTTTCCTTTTAATAATGAGGATTGAATTATAGAATAATTAAAGCATTACATATGCCAATGACATTAACTATGTTGTTATTAAATGTTTACAAAGTTAAATTTTTAAAAAAGATTTATTTATTTATTATGTATACAGTGTTCTGCCTGCAGGCCAGAAGAGGGCACCAGATCTCATTCTAGATGGTTGTAAGCCACCATGTGGTTGCTGGGAATTGAACTCAGGACCTCTGGAAGAACAGTCAGTGCTCTTAACCTCTCAGCCATCTCTCCAGCCCTTAAAGTTAAATATTTTATTTGTTTATTTTGAGACATTGCCTGACTATATAGCTCTGGCTAGCCTGGAACTCACAGAGATCCACCCATCTCTGCCTCCCAAGTACTAAAGATTAATGATGTGCACCACCACATCAGCCTAAGTCTCAATGTTTTAAGAAGTTGTGTTAGGTGTGAATTTAACACAATTCTAACACAAATGCCTTTAAAAATGACTGCAAAAACTGATCCTAAAAGTCAAGTAGGGATGTTCTCAGAGGTAGAGCATTCCCTAGCACGTGAGAGGCCCTGGGTTCAATGGCTGGACTGGCAAACACAAACAAAACAAGGCCAGTCACGTGGATAAATAAAGAAGAAGGACAGGAAAACTGCAGGACAAGAAAGGAACAGTGGGGCCTGGCTAGCTGGCTGTGTGTGAGGAACCACCGCAGGGCCTCAGCCACCGAGTGTGTGGGAGCAGTGTGGGGCAGTGGTCACTTTAAAAACGCTTTCTGTGTTCACAAAATTGTCACCTTTAAATAATTCTCCTTACACTGCAGTTGGCAGTTCTGGAGTCGTTTGAAGCTCAGAGACCACATCTCACAACCAGTGGCCGCTGATAATGGCATTGCAACAATAAGTACTTCTCTGTCACGCGACAGAGGTTTCTGTTTATACAGAAGGAGTCTTGAGAACCATTCAATAAGCTTGTCACGAAAAGGAGTGAGGGACAGAACATCAGCAGACAAGTGCAGTACTGTGAACACAAAATGTACATGTGAAAAGGGAAACGTCTGAGGTGAAGGAGGAGAAATAGGCTACTGAATTTGAAAGCGAGCAAGGAAAGGGGTTCATGGGAAGGTTTGGAGAGAGGAAAGAGAAGGGGGAAATAATATGATCTCAAAAAATTATTATTATTTTTTTAAAGATTTATTTATTTATTATGTACACAGTATTCTGCCTGCATATATGGCTGCAGGCCAGAAGAGGGCACCAGATCTCATTACAGATGGTTGTAAGCCACCATGTGGTTGCTGGGAATTGAACTCAGGACCTTTGGAAGAGCAGTCAGTACTCTTAACCGCTGAGCCATCTCTCCAGCCCCTCAAAAAATTATTTTAAAAGGGAACCCAGCCCAGCATGGTGGCTCACATCTGGAATCGCACCCTAAAGAGGATGAGGAAAGGCAACTGCTGTGAGTTTGAGGCCAGCCTGAGCTACAATAATGAGTCCAGGTTAGCTTTAATTACAGAATAAGTCAGTCCTTGTCTTAAGAGAAAAACAACAAAAACAAACCAAAAATCAAACAGAAACAAAACTAAATCCCTTTCTAAAGACAACACAAAGCACAAATTCTCAAACTGAAAGTTACAGCAGTAAACAGTGCCGGGCTGGGCATGGTGGTGCTCACCTTTAACCCAGCATTCAGGACACAGGCGCAGGTGGACTGCTAAGTTCCACCCCAGTCAAGGCTACATAGTGAGACCTTGTGTTAGGAAGGGGAGTGGGTGGGAGGGTTTGAAGGAGGGAGGGAGGGAGGAGAAGGGGGGAGATATTATAGAGGTAAGTGATTCTATAAATGTGTATTGTGTATAACAAGTTCCTGGATGAGAAAGATGCCATACGAAAAGACAGAAACCAAACGAAATGAAAAAAAAAATCAGTTATTTTTATCCTAGACAAGGACTGTAGCCCCTCCCAAGTCAGAGCATCTGACTTCCCACATACTACACAGACTAGATTCTGAGGGCCTGGAGGCAGTGTGCGTGCGTGCGTGCGTGCGTGCGTGCGTGCGTGCGTGCGTGCGTGCGTGTGTGTGTGTGTGTGTGTGTGTGTTCAGTGATAGGGATTGAACCAGGGCCTCATGTATGCTGGTCAAATACTACTATTGGAGGTATACCATCAGCCTTTAAATTAGTTGTTTAAAAAACATAATTTGTTTATTTATTCTGTGTGTGAGGGATGGTGGGGGTAGAGTCCATCTCTCCTTTACCATGTGGGTTCTGGAGACTGAACAAAGGCTTGTGAGTGGTACCTGCTGATCCATCTCATCAGCCCCTTTCAGTTTTCTGTTAAAGCGCTTTGGAAGTAGTTCCTATGTGCTGTCTTATATTTCTGCTTCCTTTATTAGTGGAGTGACTTCCTCAGAAGCTCACAGTAGACTTCTTTAGTTCTCGTGGAGCAGATCGGAGATACACAGACTCCAAGGCCCCAGCCACTGGTGATGAGGAACGCCATCCCTGGACTGAGGATGACCTGAATCCTTTGGAAGAAGAGGATGGCTTCTGCGTGAGAAAGCGGCTGGGATCGGTTCCTAGCTCTCCTGTGCATCAGCGAGTTCTGAAATGCACCCCCCCACACACTCCGTTTTCCTCATCTCCACATCTGCACCCACCCCAGTCATCAGTGAGTCTAGTTTGGTTCAATAAGCTTCCGACTGGTCTCCCTGCTTTTGAGCTAATCCCCCAACAAAAACCAGAGTTGTCTTTTTCCAGTCGAAGACGAATTATATCAAGCGCCTGTTTTAACTTCTCGGGCGGTTCCCTAACACACTGTATATAAAGATCCCCAAATCTCAACTTTCCCTAGAAAGCACCACCCAGCATTGGATCCCTGGTGACCTCTCTTCCCACTCGGGGTGCATCCACTCTGCTTTGTGAGTGCTGGTTACAGGGCCACCACTCTTCAGAATGGGAACTGGATCCTGAACTAAGGTCCTTTGCACACACAGCGCCCTCGTGTGGAACAGTCTTTCCACTCCGTCTTTGCCTGGAGGTAAAAATAAAGATGGAGATTGTTGAGACACTGTACAAGGTACAAGTTTATCTCCACCTTTATTACCAGATGAATAATTTGAGTAAGTTACTTAACCTTTCTACATCTCATTTTTCCTTCCTATAGAGTGTGGATGAGGTGGGCCTGGGAGGCTGAGGCAGGAAGACCCTGAGTTTGAGGCCTGTCTGGAGTCCAAGGCCAGCCTTCACAGTGAGACCTGTCTCAAAATACAACAAACAAATAAGTTAATGGAGATGGAATTAGTGGTCATTCCCTTGTCGGACGGAAAGCCCTGGCTTCAATGCCCAGGACCACAGTCAATTAAAAGAAAACAATCTAAACGCCAGGCATGGTGGTGTACAATTATAACCTCAGTGTTTCTGAGGTTGGGGCCAGAGGATTGTTTTAAGTTTGGGGCTGCCTAGCCTACTCGGGGAGCACCAAAAAGGGGCAGTGTAGCAAGACCCCACCTTAAAAGAACAATAAATAAGCAAATTTTAACCCCAGGGCGCTAGCCCCAGCTGGGGATGCATCAGTCACTCTTCTCCCCGCTGGGGACAGTCTAGAGAGGACAGGCTTGTTCCGGGTCATGGCCTCAGACAGAGGAACCCGTCATGGCGGGAAGGCCTGGCAGAGGATCATGCAGTGATAGCATCTCACATGCCATGGACCAGAAAACGGAGTGCGGGCCCAAAGTGGGAACAAAGCCCTTAGTGAGCTACTTCTCCAGCTAAGTCCCTACTGTTTAAGGATCCCAGAGTTCCCCAGAATGGAAACCAATAGCTAAGGAGCAACATACAACACAGGAACCCATTCTCTCCGCCTGCCAGCCCCGCCTATCCTTTCTCCTGTCTCGCTATTGGCCGTTCAGCTCTTTATTAGAGCAATCAGGTGTTTTAGATTCAGCTTCACAGAGTTAAACAAATGCAACATAAAAGAATACGACACATCTTTCTATCATTAAACAAATGTTCCAGAGCATAAGCCAATGTAACACATCTTCAACTAATAGTCCACATTATCTCCCCCTTTTTGTCTAAATAAAAATGAAAGAAAGTAAGGGGGGAGGGAGGGAGGAAAGGAGGGAAGGAAAGGAATATAGGTAATCTACTCAAACAGGAGAGAAAAGGAAAGTGACTAGAACAAGGTTAACTCTCCCACAGCAGGAGTTCGGGTGTGAGCAATCCAAGGCCATGACAGTCCTGTAAGAATGTAGGTGTTGACATTAGACTAGTCTAGTAACATTGCACAGGCAATATGTAAAAACCAAACAAAGTCTATGCATAAAAGAGGGAAACAGCGAAACACGTATGACATTTTTAGTATGATATTTTTATGCATTTGCCTGTGTTTTTCTTTTCTTTTTGGGGGGCGGGGCAGGGTAAGGAGAGAGGTGAGACAGGGTCTTGTGCAGCCTATGCAGGCCTCTAACTCAATGCACAGATGAGAATGACCTTGAACTCCTGACCCCTATTTCTACACCACAGTGTTGTGATTACAAATGGCAACCACTGCAGCTTCCTTAGTGAGGAAGTCTGTTTTGCTGGGCTTTTATAGATGATCTGGTATATATGAATAATAAAACATGCCAAACAAAATGAAGCTTGAGGGATGGCCCGGCGCTCGAGAGCACTTGCAGCCTTTCTAGAGGATTCCTCTATTTGCTGCACCCACACTGGGTGGTTGACCACCTGTACCTCCAGCTCCAGGAGATTTAATGCCCTCTTCTGGCCTCCATGGGCACTGATCCCCCAAGCAGATGTCATATAATCATATAATCAGGAAAAATAAAAATAAGTCTTTAAAGGGGGTAGATGTTTTCAAGATGACTCAGTATGCAAAGGCCCTTGTTATCAAGCCTAAAAATCTGAGTTCTAGTCATGTTACCCACATGGTGGAAAGACACACACACACACACACACACACACACACACACACACACACACACACTGTTTTTTGTTTTTTGCTAAAAAGAGGGTCCTCTGATGTGAAACCCAACATCAGAACACAGAAAGTTCTGGCATGCTGATCTCAGAACCATAAGAAAATAAATTTCTAGCCAGGCAGTGGTGGCGCACACCTTTAATCCCAGCTCTCGGGAGGCAGAGGCAGACGGATCTCTGTGAGTTCGAGGCCTGCTTGATCCTGAGTGCGTTCCAGGAAAGGCGCAAAGCTACACAGAGAAACCCAGTCTCAGAAAAAAAAAATTTCTGTTGACATTAAAAAACTAAACAAATACAGACTGGAGCTCTGGTGACGTTAGCTTGACTCTTGGCATGAGGAATGAGGAGCTTTTGACAAAGGCTGTGGAAAAATCAGAGGTGGAAAAATCTGGAACAAGACATAACTCTTTACAATGTAGTTATTAATCAACCAAAGAACGATGGAAATTAGGCTATATTTGGGGAGATATGCCACTATGTATTGTACACAACAAAGATCAGTTACTGCCATTACTGTAGAGTGATAACTAACTCTGCCATGCTGGACAACCAGTTTGGCATAAGGCCTAGTTAATAAACTGTGCTTCTGTGGTCATTGACATTTCTCTTGCACAAGCAATGAGCTTCTGTTTTGATTACATTCTGAATGAAAGTGTACATTTTTTGATATCAGAGAATTAGACTAAAAATGTATTTTCATATTCATGTAGTCACAATTCCTCCTTTCTTTCTCTCTTTCTTTTTTCCTTGACAGGCCTCCAAACTCACCATGTAGCCAAGGATGACTTTGAATTCTTTTTTTTTTCTTAATTAAAAAGTTCTAACTATGTGTTTGTGTGGATGTCCTCTGAAGCCAGTGGCTTTGGAGCCCTGCCTGGAGCTGGAGTTTCAGGTGGTTGTGAACCACCTGATGTGGACACTGGGTCCTGGAAAAGTAACAAGTGCACTTTTTTTTTTTAAATTGAAAATAGTTTTTTTCACACAGTATATTCTGGTTATGGTTTCCCCTTATCTACCTCCTTTCAGATCACCCCCACTTCCTCACCCACCTTCTCTGTCTCTCTTTTAGTAGAATACAAATAAGTGTTCTTACCCAGTGAGTCATCTCTCCAGCTGGACATTGAGTTATTGACCCTTTCGTCCTTACCTCTCAAATGCTGGTATTATATGTCTGTGCCACATACCTGTTGAATGTTCAATTAATAATAGTTAGTAACAACAATTATTTGTAGTATAATTTCATTTTATTGTATTTTAAACACCTTATTAGCATATATTAATTATTAGCATATATTAATTATACATTAATAACGGGTATATTATGGCATGTACATAATGCATTTCAATCATATTTGCTTCCTGTTACCCTCTTTTGTCTCCTGCTCCCCTGAACCATCTCTCCGTCTCATCAGGTGCTTATCTTATAGAGTATCCAGGGTCCAGGAGCTCAGCTAAGTCCAGCGTGGGATCTGAGGGGGGGGGGAAATCTATGTACACTATGTTCTTATGTCTGTTAACTTTATTCCTCTAGGACAAAATTCTATCAGTTCAGCTATAGCTCCACCAGGCATTCAGGGCAGGAACAACTCTAGACATACCAAGCTCTATATCCGTCTACTTTATTTCTCTGGGATGAAATCCTCTTTCCATAGCTTTAGTTCCATCCAGTTCCCTAGCTCATAGTCCTGCTAACAACTAAACTCCTATGCTTCCAGCCTCATCTTCGTCCTCTGTATCCTCTTCCTCCATCTCTGCTGCTCTCTACTCCTGGCACTCAGAATACTCTACCCGAGATCCGCTTACCCTCTACAGAACCTCTGTCATCCTCTCTTCTCTCTCACCATGCTGTTCTGTCCTTGTCTAGAGAAAATGCCTGCCCTTTCTTTCCCTAGGCACGTGGTTCCCTGCCTCCTCAGGAATGTTGTTTTATCTCTCACCTTGATATGTAAAAACCTCTTTTGTTCTCAGTCAATTGCTCAGGAGAACCACTAGGCCTTCTCAAGGAGAAGGGATGGTCTTAGCTTCATGGGCACAAGAAACAAAGCTATGGTCTCCCGCCAGCTTGTCTCCTAAGCTCAGCAGGGCAGTTAGTAACTTAGTAGGTTCAGCAGGTCTGGGGAGCTGAACTGTTTACACACAAGGATTTCATAGCAGAAGACAGCTGGAATATTAAAGGCTGGGTAACACCAAATGTTCATAATAAATGGCTTTGCCTTTTGACAGATCCTTGGCCGGTCAAAGTTCTGCTTTAATACACAGCTGAATCTCAATGATATATTCTTGCGCCCGCAAGATTATCTTGCATAGCAAGCATTCTTACCCACTGACCCATCTCTCCAGCCTCCTGTTGGAATTCTAAATTCTCCACAGGCTAAAGGGTTTGATTCCTGGCCGAGAGGCTACTTTCCTTTTTCAGGCTCACACTTTTCTCCTTCTGTCTTGCTTCAGCCTCACAGTGTAGCGTAGGATGGGTTTGAACACGCGACCCTCCTGTCGCAGCCTCCTTAGTGCTGGCATTACCGATGTGTACTTCTGGGCTTTGACCTTACCTTCCTATGAACAGAGGCAAGTCAGCTTCTACAATGGTCAAGGGACTGGCAATGGGGATGAAGCAGGAAACAAAATAATGACTCCGCTCTCTTGGGCTTTTAGAGTGTTGTGAGAGACAACCGACATCAAGTGGGCTACATACAGGCTGGTGCTTTGGTGGTTAATAATGGCGCCATACCTGTTGCGTTTTTCTCTTGGAGCTACAGGGCTCCCCAGTGGTACCCACTCAGGGCATCACTGGGAGGCCTCTGGGAATGTATGTGGGTGAATCCGTACGGCGGGCTTCTGGCAGTGCGATTACAAGCTAAGTGCCAAGCGTGCTCCTGTTGAGGACCAAAGGAGGGCGGTGTCTCTGGGATGGTGGGATGTAACGCAGCCGCTCCTGCGAGAAGCAGGCACCCACCACTTTTGGAGCTCTGGAGTCCCGTGAGGATGGATGCTAGAGAGGACAGCCCAACAGCCGATGTGTGAGACCACAGCGACACCTGGCTCTGGTCCGAGAGGCATCCATCCTTCCTCTGCAGAGAGGCAGGGACCTGCTGGGGGCGTGGCCGCCGCCGGGGGCGTGGCCGCCTCCCGGGGCGTGGCCTCGGGGTCGCAGGGCACGTGACGCGGGTGTCATGGCGACTTCCATGCTTGGCCCTGTCCGCAGCCCAAGGCCGCTGGGCTTGGCCGGCCTGTTCCGTCGCCGGCCGCCTCGGGATGTGTGGGAACGTGTGCGGCGGCTCCCGGGGCCCTCGGCAGTCCGGCGCAGCGTGGCGGCGGCCAGCGGGCCCGGCATCCCGGGGTCCGACCACTACTGCCTGGAGCTGCTGAGGTGAGCGGCGGCGCTGCCCCGGGGACGTCCCCGGGAGCCGGAGCCCCGACTGGGCTGCGTCCTCCTGGCCTGCGTTCTGTGGGGCTCCGTGCGGGTGCCTGAGAGGGAGGCAGCAGGCCTGCCTGTTCGCGTGGCCACGGAATCCCCTGCTCAATACGTCACCCTGCCTGAACCTGACTTTAAGGGACGCTGCAACTTTTGCATGCTTAGTATTTTTTATTCATAGACAGCCAGCGATTTTAACACTGTTAAAGGTTCTGTGTGCTCTGCACGGTTAAAAGTATCCATCTATCTTACAGAGGCTGCGGATTTAGCTCGGTGGGTAGAGTACTTGCCTAGCATGCACGAGGGTTAGCTAGATCAACAGCTTCTCCCAAAACCTGGCACACGCTCCTGTGACTCATCTTAGGAGAGAGAAAACGGAGGTTGAAGGTTAGTTTTGGCCACACATCAGCCTCGTGAGACTGTATTAAAAATTATTTACAAAAATAAAGTCCAAAGCAGCTTATTTAACGGTCCTTACGAATTGCTATTCCCATCAAGGGTTGTAAGAATTAGTATTTAGGAGCTGGAAAGATGGGTCAGTGTTTAAGAGCACAGGCTGATCCGGAGGACCTAGGTTCGATTCCCACCACCCACATGGCAGTTCACAACTGCTTGTAAGTCCAGTTCCAGGAGAGCCAATCCCCTCTGGCGTTCCTGGGCACTAGGTAGGCACATGGTGTATTGACGTGTAGGCAAAACACTCATATACATAAAAATAAACACGAATTTAAAAATAAAGTTTACCAGAGCATTTTATATCATTGCCTGGCACATAGTCAGGTTATTATCTATTTAATAGATGATCTCACTTCACGTCAGATCAAGGGAACAAGGAATTTCCCTGAGATTTACTAGAACAGTCTCAGGACTTGTGCTTTGTTCACACGGTACCGGAAAGACATCTGGGCGTTCCTCCATAGACACACGTGGGGTGTGGGGGTGGGTGGGGCCTGCCTTGGAATAGAGGCCTGTGAACATTTATGGTTTAACAACACCCACCCTCACTTCCTTGCTAACACTGGTGTCTTATTTGAGACAGGATCTTTTTTTTTTTTTAAGTTTTCATGACAGGGTTTCTCTGTGTAGCCCTGGCTGTCCTGGAACTCACAATGTAGACCAGGCTGGCCTTGAACTCACAGAGATCTGTCTGCCTCCCTCCCAAGTGCTAGGACTCAATTAGGTCTGTGCCACCAGTTTTTTGTTGGTTTGTTTTTTGTTTTTAAAGATGTGTTTATTTTTATTTTATGTGTTTGTGTTTTGCCTGTATGTATGTATGTGTGTACACTGTGTGCATGCCTGGTGCCACAGACCAGAAGAGGACATCAGACTTCCTGGAACAGTGGTGATGTTGGGAATCAAATCAGGGTCCTCTGGAGGAGCGCCTAGCTTAGCTTCTGAGCTCTCTCCCCATCCCCAGTATCTGATTTTAAAGCCTGGTTTCAAGAGCCTCTGAGCCAGTGGTTCTCAACCTTCCTAATGCTGCAACCCTTTAATACAGTTGCTCCTGTTGTGGTGACCCCCAACCATAAAATTATTTTCATTGCTACTTCGTAACTGCAATTTTGCTACTGTTATGAATCGTAATGTAAATATCTGTGTTTTCCATTGGTCTTAGGGGACCCCTGTGAAAGGGTCGTTCAGCCCCAAGGAGTCGTGACCTGCAGCTTGAGAACCACTGTCTAAGCGTTACTAAAATAACTAAACCACCCTGGATTTCATTAGGGAAGTAAATCCAAAAGTGCATTTGCTCCCGTGTTTGGCAGGTGTTTTGGGTTTCCCGCTCTCCTCCCTTCTCCCAAGTGTGAGGTCGTAGGCTTCGGTGGTCACAGTGTCACGTCTGTTTGCTGGGTTTTCTTTATGGTGCTGGAGACTGAACTCAGGCCTGGGGATGCAAGGCAAGCTCCGTCCCACGGAGCTGCACACTAGCCATTAGATTTCTAGACAGCTTCTTGCTGTTTCGAAAGCTGGCCTTGAAATCGTGGACGTAAGAGTTTCTTGCTGAGCCCCTGGGTATATACCATACCCAGACTATCATTCTCTGGATACTCAAGTTTCTGCAGGCTCTTGTCAAGCATATTTCTGGTGTTCTTTTGACAAGTAAGTCTCTTCCATTCTTTGAATCTTTGCTGTATGCTCAAGATGTCTTTGGCTTGTTTTATATTTTCCCCGCCCCAACTTGGACATCATTCTTTCGAGAATGTCTGGAGGTGGTAGGAACTGATGTCTGTGTGCAGGTAATTGGCATCATTCATTGATGGAGATCATTTGTGCTTCTAGGCTCCTTTAGCGAGCACAGAAATACATACACACATTGGTTTATATATCTTATTTCTGTGCCTTTCTATGTACGTGTAATAAAAACTCGCCTAAACCATTTTCTTTATACCTGCCCCCACTGCCTTTGTTGGTGGTTGTTTTGAGAGAGTGTCATTGTAGCCTAGGCTAGCCTCAAGCTCCTGAATCTCCTCCTACCTGCACTTCTGAAATGCTGGGATCACAAGCGTGTGTCAACATATCCAGCTTTGTTTTTCTTTTGTAGCTCATTTCAGTACTTACTGAAAGCGAAATATTCTGAAACAATTGCAAGCGCTTTGTAAATAAAAATAAAATAAAATAAAGATCCCCCCCCCCCTTGGAGCTGAGGACCGAACCGAGGGCCTTGCACTTGCTAGGCAAGCGCTCTACCACTGAGCTAACCCCCCAACCCAATGATTAAGTCTAACTTTCAATTTTTTTATAATTTATTTTACTTCATGTGCATTGGTGTAAAGATGTCAGATCCCCTGGAACTGGAGTTACAGACAGGTGTGAGCTGCCATGTGGGTGCTAGGAATTGAACCCAGGTTCTCTGAAAGGGCAGCCAGTGCTCTTAACCACTGAGCCATCTCCAGCCCTAGATTTCTTTTTTAACATTTGGAATGAGAAGCAGACACATTGTTTAAGTAGTTGTAGAGAGAGTTATATAATTTAAGAACCAAGGCCACTGTGAGCCCAAGCGCCATTGTTTTCAGTTGATGGTTGATGGTTTTTTTTATCAGTGTTTTGTGTGCAGTCCAGAAGGTGGAGACTAACACTTGTTTTCTTTCGCTCTGTTTGTTGTAGGAAGCGGGATTATGAAAGTTACTTGTGTTCCCTGCTGGTGCCCACAGAATGCCGAAGCTCTGTTTCTGCACTGAGGGCCTTCAATGTGGAACTGGCTCAGGCTGGTATTAAAATACTATGACAAGATGGTTGGAGGATATGAACAATAAAGAAATAGAGTAATTCATGTTAGATGTACTTAAAGTTTCTGCCAGTGGTTTTTTTCTCCTGGTGACTACTTAGGCTTAATTCGGTACCAAAAAATAAAGCTAGCTGGTGAATTTAATATTTCTGGAAATGATTCTGCATTTTTGAGTTTTTCTGAGTGTATTGCAAATTTGCGGTTAGCATTGTCTGTTAACTGAATAAACTAATGAGAATCTTACTGCTTTCTCTAATAGTTCCATACTTTGTGTGTACAGAGAATATTGGAAAAAGTTGAAAATTTAATGTGAAGTGAGACTGGACAATATTTTGGCAGATCTACATGGTAGAACACTAGAGAGTCTGGCAGACCCTGACGGATGTCTGTCTCAGAATTACAGGGAAGCCTGGGGCCTTCTTCCTTGAGCAGACAGAACATGGGCAGATTCAAAGCATGTGAACTGGTGTGGAGTGAAGGGCCTCTAGTAGAATGGTCTTGGTCTTCTTAGGACAGCAGGCGGAGAGGTCAGATATTGGAAATGAGGAGTCGGGAAGTGTGGCACATGTACGCATATTACAACACGTTATTAAACACGAGTGCCTTAATTAATGTATAGAACAGACTATTGCCATGGCTGGTGCCAAGGCGTATGCACCTCCTGGCAGCTTTCCTTCCCGCTGGAGCCTTGGCCACTGTCCTCTGTCCCAGTGAGTCTGTCCCCCTCCTCAGCCAAACCTCCCCCTCCTTCCTGGAGAATCTGAAGCCCCCAGCAGTTCCCCAGGGACACGGAGGCATCTGCACCATACAGTTACTCTGCTTTTGTTTGTTTTGAGATAGGGTCTCGCTGTGTAGACCAGGCTGTCCTCCAACTCAGAGATCCACTTGCCGTTGCCTCTCAAGTGCTGGGAATAAAGGTGTGCACCATGCCAAGCCCCCTGCAATTACTCTTATATATAGTAAAGTAAGATATGACAGGAAAATCTTGGTTTAGATTTATTTAAAAAATTTGAGGTGTATCAGTTTTTGCCAGCATGTATGTATGTATGCCTGGTGTCCATGGAGGCCAGAAGTGGGTGTTGGATCCTCTGGAACTGGAGTTACAGATGGTTGTGAGCCACCATATGGGTGCTGGGAACTGAACCCCTCTGCCAGAGTAGCAAGTGACCTCAACTGCTGAGCCATCGGTCCAGCCCTGCTGAGTCATCAGTTTTGAGGGGAAAATGTATGGCTAGTTGTCCTCATACAGTTGATGTTGAATAATTGAAGTTAGTCATCAAAAAAAAAAAAAATCAAGTTGCAGATTTGGGATCCACAGTACAGGAGCAGCTCAGAGCTGATGCATGGAGCTCCTGCAGCTGGCTGCACTTAGAAAAAGTACTTCTGACCATGTGAGCAAGGAATATTTACACTTACCATATGCAAAGAATCAAAGCAACCCAAACACTGTAATGGTTCTCAAAAAGCAGATTTGGAGACACAGAGCGACTGTAGAAGAAGCCTGTTTGCTGAAGACAATGACTGGTTTTGAGTTTTTGGGACAGGCTCTTGTGTAGCCCGGGGTGGCTTTAAACTTGTTATGTAGCTGGGAAAGGGGATCCTCTCACCTCCACCAGGTCACAGTTAGTGCTCCTACCCCAGCTCAAGAAGAAACCATTCTTTATTATTATTATTATTATTTTATTATTGAATGTGTGTAAGTTTTCCTGTGTGTGTCTGTATACCGTGTGCACACCTGGGCCCTGTAAAGCTAGAAGAGGGCATTGGGTCTCCTGGAACGGTGGCCACAGATGCCTGTGAGCCACCGTGTGGGGGCTGGGAATTGAACCTGAGGAAGAGCAGCCAGTGCTCCTAACTGCTGAGCGATCTCTCCATCCCCAAGAAACAACTCTTAAACCAGTGAAATGTCTCAGCGAGCTGAAGTACTTACCTCACAAGCCTGGCAACCCTAGTTCGACCCCCAGAACCTACATTCCAGTGGGAGAGAGCTGACTCACAGTTGTCTGTCCTCTGCTCTCCACATGAATTTATACACAGTCAGTTTAGACATGGTCTCCTTCTGTAGCCCAGGCTGGCCTGGAACTTACTACATAGCCCAGGTTGGCCTCAAGCTAGTGGCCGTTATTTAACCCCTGAATACTGGGGTTATAGGCATGAGCCGCCACACCTGGCTTATGCATTATGTTATAAGAGATTAATTAGTAGCATGGAGGGGAATGTGCATTGTCAGTTTTACACTTTGTGTTGGCTCTGAAAAATGTAGTCATGTATTGACCGCCATAGCAGTGGTGCAGGACAGTTTGATTAGCTCACAAGTCCCCTCATAATACTTAGTTTTCAGACACTAAGTTGTCTTCATTTGTTTGTTTCTATTCGGGGTTTTAACCAAAGGCTTCCACACATAGACAGACAAGCACTCTATCACTGATCTATGTTTCTAGCCTAGAGTTTCTGAACTCTGTTTACAGGTGAAGGACTCAGTCTCGGAGAAAACGATTGGACTGATGCGAATGCAGTTCTGGAAAAAAGCTGTGGAAGACATGTACCGTGACAACCCACCACATCAGCCTGTGGCCGTTGAACTCTGGAAGGTAAAAAAAACCTTACATATATACACATATGTAGTACATATATATTCTCCTATGAGCGTGTATATACCACTTTTAATATAGAGGAGTCATGTTTGGGCCTGCTCGTGGGTGGCTGTAATTCCGGTAGTGGTAGTGAGGTGGGGTCTGTCCTCAGCAGTCCTGGGCTCTTCAGTGGTCTGAGCTGCTTTGGCAGGGGTGGTGGTTACTTGTCTTGCTGCAGCAAAAGCACCTTCAGGAAGGAGAGGCTTCTCATCTCCAGTCCAGGGTTCCAGTCCATCATGGTGGGTCAGTGCAGCTTCATCGGGAATGTCAGTCACGTTGCAGCTAGGAGTCAGGAAGCAGGGAGCAATAAATACTTGTGTTCAGATTGCTCCCCATTTTAACACTAGTTTATTATGTGCGGGTCAGAGTACAACCTGTGGAGTGAGCTCTGCCCTTCACCAGCCGGTCTGGTGAACTCGGGTTACCAGGCGTGGTGGTAAGTCCCTTTACTGCCCAGTCATCTCAGTAGCCTGGCTTCCTCCCTCTCTTCATTCAGTCTGCCACCCTAGCCCGTGGATGGTATTGCTCACACTGACTGTGGGTCTTTCCACTTCAATTAGCCTAATCTAGATAACTATTTATTGTGTGTGTGAATGAGTGAGCACACGTGATGTGCTGTTAGGGTGTGTGTGTAGAGATTAGAGGTTGACTCATGACACCCCCAAGTGACATAGACTTTCTTGTTTTTTGTGGTACTGAAGACTGAACTCACTTTGCACTCACCAATGGAGTTATACCACCTCGTCAACATTTCTTTTTCTTTCTTTCTCTTCTTTTCTTTTTTTTTTTTTCCCAAGACAGGGTTTCTCTGTGTAGCCCTGGCTGTCCTGGAACTCATTCTGAACTTAAGGACTTGCCTGCTTCTGCCTCGCAAGTGCTGGGATTAAAGGCGTGTGCCACCACCATCCAGCCATCTTCTTAGATGTATAGTCGGTCTTAACTTGTTTTTTTCCTCTCAGGACATTCATTCTGGGTTTGTCTTAATATTTTCTCATTAGATGCAGGGTATAGATTCTTGGCTGGAGTGCTTAGTAGGAAATGCATCCTTCTCCAGGTGTCACTTCTGGGGAGACACTTGTCCACCCTGTCTTCATTGGCACTGCTGTTTGTTGATTGATTGATTGAGTGAGTGATTGAAACAAGGCCTTACTCTAGCTGAGACTCAAACTTACAATGATTCTCCTTCCTCGGATTCCCAAGTACTGGGAGTACAGATGTGTAGAGCCATGCCCTGTGTTCTCGGGGTTTTAGATGCTCTTCATGCGGGGGAAGTGGCTATTTTTGCTAGGGAAACTCCATGTGCTGTAAGAAAAAGACTGAATGTTCTGTGTAAGCGATGAAGGTAGGTGTGGCAGCAAGCAGCTCAATCCTGAGTTCTTGGTTTCATTTAAAAGTGTAAAGGGCATATGGGAGTTTAGAGGGAGGGAAGGTGTGGGGCGTTTACCCACCACCCCCACAGCTTCCCAGAGTTTTCTTGAGTGCGAGCAGCAGGAAATATTAGATAGAAGGATTTATAGCAAAGAATCTTGCGGAGATAAACAGATAGAAAATAAAGGATAGCCTCGAGAGGGCCTGGAACCTATTCCAACGGGCCCGGACTGTCTCTGGTCCAGGGTTTTTATAGAG